GTGGTACGGGAGGAAACTTTTTTTGCCCGTGAATATGTTCTCTCTACTTAAAAAAAAAAAAATAGATAAATATTATTATATATATATATATATATAAATATAACAAAATCATTCTTCATAATCGGATTTACACATACAATAAAACTATTGTGCCGACAAGAACAAGTCTAGAGAGAGAAGAGTTAATAATATGCAATAAATATTAGTTAATATTAATGATCATAAATTCGAACTGCGTTATGATAAACGCCTTCACAATGTCATGTCTACGATCTTTTTTGAAGAACAGATAATCCATGTCGTCTCCCCAGGCAGGTTTTCATCTGCTTTTTTTTTTCTCTTCTCGCTACAAACAATAAAGTATCAGCGCCAGACCAGTGGTTTAAATTATATTTTCTTTCCTGATTTCTTTCCGTTTTATTTCAAAAAACATAAATGTATAAAGTTTTGTATTGAATATATATTTTTAAAGATTAGCATTCAGCCTATACGCAGTGCATATGAGAGGTTGATGCGGCAAATTTCCTTCACTCATACACTATACACATTTCATTTATGACACTGTAAACTTGACTTCGCAGGCTGGTCATCTTTAGACTCAAAAGGCATTTTTAAGTGTCCTAACTTGAGACTGCTGCTGGGATGTTTCTTATTGTTAGCAATGTCAAAATGAAAGCAAACATTAAAAAGGGTTTTGGTTGTTATTATAGGAGAATTTCTGATGCATATAGAGGAACTTTTATTATGCTATCACTATATAATCTGCCACTATTAAAATATAGAAATACACTGTTAAAACATATAGAAATACATTCAAGTGATGCAGAGAATAACACACAGACATGCAGGGCCTTATAATTGACGAAAACACACACAGGCATACAGGGCCTTATAATTGAGGGCCTCACAATTGAAGCACAGCACGTCATGTGCCTAAATGAGAACATTCAGATAGAGCGTATGCAATACATTTAGACAAAAGTATGTACTGACCAAGACAAAAACAACCCTTGACAAAATAGCATACATAAGGAGAATCATTTAGAAAGTATGGAAACAACATGATCATGTGCAAACACATGATTTTAAGCACATGCTATATGACCTTAAGATATGTAAAAACAGAAAAACATACAGCCATTAATTAAAAAGCTAGGATACTATTGGAGCCGGGAAATCGCGTGATGCTATACGACATGTCAGGATGACTATGGGAAAAAACTGTATATAAACTGTGGGTTTTTGAACATTGGTAGGAGAGAGATCGATCGACCAACTCTGCTGTAACAATAAACTGCTTCAACTTGAGAACTTCGAAGACCTCAGCCTCTTTTTTGAAACTTAGAAGATGTTTGTCGAGATCCAGCGCAACTTTCCACAACATTATCAATTGTATTGTTTCGTTTTAATAATAATGAATATAATAAATTATAATATTGATTATAGTGTAGACTAGTGTGCAGTGTCCAACAAAACATTTTTATTAGGTTACTCTAGACCTAATCCCTAACTGAAAAACAAATGTGAAAATGTAGTTGCGTCTCTGCTAAAACTAATTTAAAGACAAATTTCTTTTGCAATTTTTTCCCTTTAGAAATCAAGAGAGCTGTATTGAAAGAATTAGTTAAATAAAACGAATGAAATGAATGTCCTTTCCTGTGTGAGTTTAGTGTGGCTCCACGTGTGCGTTTTAAAGGCTACTAGTGCACCCTGACCTGACGCGGGGACCAGATCTCTGCACTATTGCTTTAATTTCACAGTTTTCATAATTTCATTGCATTTTCATATGGTAAAATATCTACATTTTTGTTCTGAAAGTAGTATCAATGATGGGAGTGTTAGTAATTAAAGGCAGAAAGAACTGTTACTTTTGAGTGAACTTCTGTCACAGATTATTTTAGTTTTTAGTATGATTGACATATAAGTACTAGTGCATAAAATAGATACTAATATCTAATGATTAAGTACTAGTGCCTAATGAATAAGTACTAGTATCTAATACTTGAGCACCAGTATCTATTAATTAGGTACTAGTATCTAATTATTAATTACCAGTAGTTAATGAATAACTAGCAGTACATAAAATATGTACTAGTCCCAGTTGGAATACATACTAGTCAAAACTGAACAGTTGATATCTCAATGACAGATCCCATAGAAATCAATGGAAAAAAATTGTAACTATTAACAACAGAATAGTTACTTGTCACTACTAAAATTAGTACTAGTATCTAATAAATAAAAACTATATATTAATAAGTACTACTTAATGAATAAGTACTAGTATCTAATAGATAAAAACTATATATTTAATAAGTACTATACTTAATGAATAAGTACTAGTATCTAATAAATAAAACTATATATTTAATAAGTACTATACTTAATGATTAAGTACTAGTATCTAATAAATAAATAAAAACTATATAAGTACTATTTAATGAATAAGTACTAGCAGTGTCTGAGCGCTAAATAGAAAGATAGTAATGTATTTAATTTATTTTATTTTGTATTATTTTTGGCCTGCTTTTTGCCAGCTGTTGTGCTGCCACCTATGGGGCATACTAGTCACTGCACTGTAGGAAAGTCAATATCATGTGAACCTAATCAGCAAGAAGCATGGCAGTGCTTTATGCCTTTATTGGACACTTTAAAAAAGACGGGGGAACTCATGTTGCAACTGGTAAGCTCCGCTCTGCTGTTGTTTATCTGAAAAAGTCGTGTGAGTAATTTACGACAAGTGATTGGCTTTTTTGATCAGCACTTTTGGGGTTAGCTGATCAAGCTATTTTTAGCCAATATTGTGATCAGCGGCCAATCAATCGCAGCATCACTAATATATATATATATATATATATATATATATATATATATATACAGTTGAAGTCAGAATTATTAGCCCCCTTTGATTTTTTTTTCTATTTTAAATATTTCCCAAATGATTTTTAACAGAGCAAGGAAATTTTCACTGTATGTCTGATAATATTTTTTTTTTTAGAGAAAGTCTTATTTCTTTTAATGAAATGCAATGAAGTCAGTTATTAATTTTTTAAAAAACATTTTCGGGACAAAATTATTAGCCCCTTTAAGCATTTTTTTTTTCAATAGTTAACAGAACAAACCATCATTATACAATAACTTGCCTAATTACCAGGGCCAGACGGAATCTGCGGACGTTTTCTGCTATTTCTGCTGAGAATTTTGGTAAAAATCTGCAGATTTCTGCGAAATTATTTTGGGAGTATCCATCAGAGTATCATAACTAAAACCTTAATATATGAAATAAAAAGTAATAAATTACAGTATAAAAACTGAATAAATTTAGATATACACATTAACTCAAGTAAATAAACAGAAATAATGATGGGCTAAAAATATGCAGAAATCTGCGTGGCGCAGATTCCGTGTGGGCCTACTAACTCCTAACCTGCCTAGTTAACCTAATAAACCCAGTTCAGCCTTTAAATGTCATTTTAAGCTGTACAGAAGTGTCTTGAAAAATATCTAGTCTAATATTATTTAATGTCATCATTCTTTCATTCATTCATTCATTTTCTTGTCGGCTTAGTCCCTTTATTACTCTGGGGTTGCCACAGCGGAATGAACCGCCAACTTATCCAGCAAGTTTTTTACGCAGCGGATGCCCTTTCAGCCGCAACCTATTTTCGGAAAACATCCACACACACATTCACACACATTAAACACTACGGACAATTTAGCCTACCCAATTCACCTGCACCGCATGTCTTTGGACTGTGGGGGAAACCGGAGCACCCGAAGGAAAGCCACGAGAACGCAAGGAGAACCTGCAAACTCCACACAGAAACGCCAACTGAGCCGAGGCTTAAACCAGCGACCCAGCGACCTTCTTGCTGTGAGGTGACAGCACTACCTACTGCGCCACTGCTTCGCCCTACTGTCATCATGGCAAAGATAAAATAGATCAGTGATTAGAAATGAGTAATTAAACTATTATGATTAGAAATGTGCTGAAGCAATCTTCCCTCTGTTAAACAGACATTGGGGGAAAAAATTAGCAGGGGTCCTAATAATTTAGGGGGGCTAATAAGTCTGACTTCATCTGTGTATATATATATATATATATATATATATATATATATATATATATATATATATATATATATATATATATATATATATATATATATATATATATATATATATATATATATATATATATATATATATAAGCGATATCACACTCATAGCAGTGTGATATGGCTGTATATCAGCACTAGTGGAAGGCGTGCGTTAGTGTCCACCAGTGCTGATTTACAGCCATATCACACTGTTGTGAGTGTGATATTGCGTTTATACAACAGGGTTGAGTTGAGGTCTCTGAATAACACTGTTGAGAACTGGGATAGGAAAGTAACCATACTGTGGTGTTAGTAACTGTATCGTGCACCGGGTTTTGTGTGGCCGCTGCGATCGGATACTGTACCAAAGTTAAAGACCTGGGGGTGTTACAGACTGTACCAGAGTGGGGTGAAATTACAGGAGTTTTCTGGTAGAAAAACAAACGGGAGGGTTGCGGGAGATTGGTCTGAAAGACAGGAGACTCCTGGGAAAATTGGGAGTGTTGGCAGGTATGCTTACCAGTTTAATACTGATTTGATCAGCTTTATCAGCACTGTAGATGGTCCTCTGCTTGTTACTGTATGTGGGTGGAGTAATACAGAAGGGTGAAGCTGGACCAGTGCTGTTATTGCAGAATTTCACACGGCTATCAGCCAATCAGATTTAAGAACCAGGCAGAACTTTTGTATATATATATATTATAATTTACTGAAAGATTCTCTGCATAAGAAACTAAATCTGCCCACAGGAGTCTGTAAATGAGTCGCCAAAGTCATTGATTCATTTGATTTACTCAAACAACTAATTCATTCAGGAATGACTCTCTTTACTGAATTGTTGGTTCATATAAAATATTCAAAATGGTCCATGTGTGAGCAATAATGTAAAACACAAAATACCTTTTGGCAGATGATGGTGTTTTCTCTCTGAAATTTGGTGGATCCCTTTTAGACCAGTCACTCTTCAGAGACACAGAGCTGGACACACATGATCCTGATCTCACACTGAACACACCAGAGGAAAAGGAGTATCATAATCTGCTGCAATCATTCATAATTTCCTGTGAGCTCAATAAGCTAAGGTTAAACCTTTATTCTTCACTTGTGTTGCCTCTTCCTATAGCAGCTGAATGTGTGTTAGATTAGTTTAAGTGTTCACTGTAGTTAAAGAAGCATTACTTGTACAACTCTTAATGTTCATTATTTGCTCATAAATGTCCCTAATCATGCCGAATTTTACTTTTTGGATGTCAAAAAAATTATAACTAAAAAAGCCTGTGTGTTTTTATTTGTTCTATAGTTTAACAAACAAAAAAGTACGTCTTTTGTCATTGCAGTAATACATTGCTCACTAAAATAACATCCTAGGTCTGAAGGAATGAATTATTCTTATTAAATACTTTGTTATTTACATAGCTGAATGCGCTGAAAACAAAATCGCATAAAAATTATCAATGTAAATCCTATTTCTTAACCCATTGAGGTCTGGATTTGGATTCACACTCAAAATTGAAGAGGAAAAACACACTACAGGCTGATCTAACTTTGATGCAGTGTCCTTGGGGCTCAGTAGAGTGCGTGGCCTCCACATGCCTACAATTTCTGGGCATCCTCCTGATTAGGTGGTGGATGATCTCCTGAGGGATCTCCTCCCAGACCTGGACTAAAGCATCTGCCAAATCCTGCACAGTCTGTGGTTCAAAGTGGCTTTGGTGGATGGAACGAGATTTGATGTCCCAGATGTGCTCAATTGAATTCAGAGTCTCGGGTACAAGCAGGCCAGTCCATTGAATCAATGCTTTAGTCTTGCAAGAACCGATAGCACTCCAGCCACATGAAGTCTAGTGTTGTCTTGCTTTAGGAGGAGCCCGACAGCACAGGTATATGGTCTTACAAAGGGTATGTGGATCTCATCTCGGTACCTAATGGTAGTCAGGCTACCTCTGGCAAACGCTGCATCTGCATCAGAAATGCCACCTCACATCACACCAGTCATGCTGGAAGATGTTGCAGGCAGCAGAATGTTATTGATGGTAGGATCGATATAATTCACAGTTCACATCAAGTGCCATCCAGGATGAGCTGCACTACCAGAGCCACTTGTGTATTTCAAGAAGGTTATTTCTTATGAACTAGAAATTAATGTTCACGGTTTAGATGTCTAAAAATAACAATAAAGTTTGCTTGTATTTTGTTTTATTTTTCTTTATAGTTTAATAAAGCACAATTGAAGTTTTGGTGCCATTTGTCATTATATTAATATTAGTCTATATTAAAAAGGTCTTAAATAGGTCTATAAATAGTTCGAAACCTGGTTAACGGGGGTTTTAGTGTAAGATCAGTTTCATTAGGCTAATGCATTAGCATAAAAAAATCTATATTATTTACTTTACAAACTGTCTAAGGCAGGTTAGGGCAAACTTGATCCAGAAGGGCCAGTGTCCTGCATAGTTTAGCTCCAACCCTATTCAAACAGACCTCCCTATAGAGTTCAAGTGATCTTGAAGACACTGATTAGTTTGTTCAGGTGTGTTTGACTAGTTTTGAAACAAAACTCTGCAGGGACACCAGCCCTCGAGGATCAAGTTTGCCCATCCCTGGTCTAAGGGGTGATAATAATAGTTTTATGAATTTGTGGTACTTTATTTACTTTATTTATTGTTAAAAAAATGTGATTTTAGAAGAGTGACTGACACGTTATTAAAAAATAAAATAAATCATTCATACCTTTGTGCAGATGGTGGTGTTTTCTCTCTGAAGTTTGGTAGATGTTCTTCTTTAGACCGGTCACTCTTCAGAGACACAGAGCTGGACACACATGATCCTGATCTCACACTGAACACACAAACACACCAGAGGAATAAACTGCAGGACAAACTTTAAGAGTTTAATGAGTTTGTGTAGTTTAATTCAGCACAAACTAATTGTTGGCTGAAAGTCTGTCTGATCAGGTCTGCTACACAGATATCATGGGTAAACAGACACATGACTAGGCCCACACGGAATCTGTGCACGCAGAATTATTAATTCTGTATATTTACTTGAGTAAATGTGTGTAAATCTGTAATTATTCAGTTTTTTATTAATTAAAGTAATATTATTGACTAATATGAAAATGTTCATCTGATTTATGCACAATGCAGTTTGTACAGTCATATTTTCAGTCTTTTAGTAGAGATATTATACGAGACACTTGCTTTGTTTACCAAATAAAGTGAATCTTATTGGATTTGCATTTTGAACATTAAATAAAAGTTTAAAAGATATTTTTTTATTTCACATATTAAAGTTTTAGTCATTATACTCCCAAAATCATTCTGCAGAAATCCACAGATTTTTTACCAAAATTCTCAGCAGAAATAGCAAAAAACGCTTGCAGATTCCGTCTGGCCCTACACATTAACACACATTGAGCTCTGGTAAAGCTGTCTGTACTCTAGAATGATCTAAACACATTTGCTGAAGCTGTAAACTGAAGCTTTGTCCATCATGTGATCAGGCAATAGCAACACAAATAAGTGCATTGTTGTTGGTCTTTGTTCTTCAGAGAAAGTGTTGAAATAATGGTGTAAAAACAGAGTCAATACCTGTGTTTCTCTGAGAGAGAGTCCTTTACTCGCTCCTCTGCCATACTGCAGCTAAAACACCAATGCAGACATTAGCAGAGCTTTGAGGAAACAGTCAGCCGCTGACCATCACCTGAAGATGACAATATACTGAGATGAAGAACAGCACACTTTATAGCAATCAATGCTCACTTCACTAACAACACTGCACTCAAACACACTACATGATGAGGGAGAACACTAACAACACCTTACTGAAACAGACCACATGATGAGGGATAGCACAAACTGACTTTCAGCCATTTCACATCAGATATATATATATATATATATATAATGATTAAGATTAACATTAATGCAGTTGGTTTCACCCCTGATCTGTATTGAGGTAAAGCTGGTTTTATATTTACACATTCAGACTTTCTCCTTGACTAAGAAGTATTCTTTGCTAAATTGTGAAATCGTATAAGCTATAAGTTTAGTCAAATAAATGGTGCTAAGGTTGTTTTAGAATCATATTCACATCTGATTTCATACCAAATATTCAAAGTATCATGGTAAACACTATAGGGAGCGTGTCACAAGTTGTCATTGAACGAATGTGCGAATTTAAAACCAACTTTACCTCAGTCTCATCTGACACCTCAGATATTTCAGATTTGATCATTTAATATGTATTTTTCTGTCACGATAACTTCTGCTTTAGACAGCTATTAACTTATTATTTTATTTATTTATTTGCTTAGTTAATAGTTAGTTAGTATTGAAACGTTACCAGCAGGCCCGGCTCCAACCAATATAGAGGTAAAGTTGGTTTTATATTCTGATATTCAGACATTCCCCTTAATAATATCATTTCAGAAAAGTATTCATTGCAAATTCTAAATAGGGAAATCATAATAGCAGCCAATGACTATCAAAGTACAACATGTTCACAGTCAAATAAACAGTGTTAATGCTGTTTTCAAGTCATACTTGCATGCTAATTCCAATCGAATATTTAAAGTAACATGGTAAACAATATATAGACTGCTAAATGAACGAATGTGTAAATATAAAACCAACTTTACCTCCATCCAACCAATTTGGCGCCCTAGGCAAGATTTCAGGTGGCATCCCTTCACATAGCAGTAAATTCCACTGCTAGTGTACACCCAACAAACACATTTACGTTGTAGCGATGTCTGCACAACGTTGTATTTTTTCAAAGGCAACGTTGCCGCTTACGTGCTCGCTACATTGTCACAACGTAGAAATGTAAGACGTGAGAAGGCTGTAGCAACGTTGTCGTGCGACATTCAGCAACCACGAGGCGGCGTTCTTACTACTTGTATTGATATTTTTTTGTGGCAGTTTATCATTACTGCCTAGAATACAGGATAAGCAGCAATTCTTTTCCAGTATTGCTTAATATGAAATATTGTTCATTTATTTTTCCTATTTAATTTAAAAACTGCATGTGTAAACTTTAAAGTGTAAAAATGCCACACAAATGAATATAATCAAACTTTTTATTATATATTTCACAACATTTAATACATACAGTACACATACAGTATCTAATTATAAGCAAACAGTATAAAATAAAGTTCAGATTATATATATATATATATATATATATATATATATATATATATATATATATATATATATATATATATATATATATAATTAAACTAAAGGGTAAACAAACAAGAAAAGTAAACAAGAAATCATTAAAATGTAAATAAATATATAAATAAATATATAAATTAAAATTCAAACACTGGGCAGTGAAGCTCTGGACTGGAGAATACAGCAGACCGGGGAGCGCAGCTGAAGACCAGTCGTAGTTGTTGGTATGGAGAAAGCAGTCAGAGGAAAAAACAAATTCAACGGATAATCCAGCTTCAGAGATCCACAGCAGACAAAAGTCAAAATAGGCAGTGAACAAGAGAGGACAGATCAGAGCTTGACACAACAGCACTACACAGGAAATGACTATGACTAGCAAGTTATTGAAGTTTCAGACATTTATTGTAATTTCATTACATATAAAATCTCCAGAGTAATTATGTAGCCTACTTTATTTTAATGTTTTAATAATATATTATATACCAAAATTACAAACAATTAAATAAATTTAGAGATACAGGGAAAACAGGTTTGAGTTAACAGAAGTCAGAGTTAGTCTCCGAATACTTATTTACTGTAAATTATGAGAAGAGAAAGAAGAGGTCCTGTAGTTGTGGCGTTGCTCGCTGTTAATGAAATGTTAAACTTAGTGTCATTTCAATAACAGCTGTACAAAATAATAAAGTAATTTTTCATAAGCATGATCTATTTTCCACATTATGGACATGCGGTTTTAGGTAACATAACTACATTTAATAGTAAATAGAATAGTATACTTCTTACCTCATTCAATTCTTCTTTCCATCAGGAATTACAGCAACACTGATCTGAGGTGAATGCAACAGCTGAAAAAATTCTGAAAGACAAGTTACATAAGTAATTTGAAAACAACAGTGAGTGATTAAACAATAGTTTCATGCAACTTACGCATAATTAAAATCCAGAAATTATCAATAGAAGATTACCTCCATGTAAAAATAGCCTGTTGAGCAAAGAGAAGAGTGGGTTTTAAATAAAACATCAAAAGACCAATCAAAATAGAAATTTAGACTAGCAGACCTTTTAATTACTATCTATATTAATTAGGCATATGAACCTCAATTTATATACTTTAACTTATAGGGATAGCTCACCCAAAACTGACAATTCTGCCATTTTAGCCTCATTCTTTATTTGTTCTAAACTTATTTAGCTTTTTTTTCTGCTAAACAATAAAGAAGATATATTAAATAAAGCTGGAAAACTGTAACTATTTAATTCCATAGTGTTTTCCTACCATGAAAGCAAATGCTTACAGTCTTTAGTGTTCAACAGAATAAAGAAACAAAGGTTTGGAATCACTTATTATTTACAGGGCAAATAATTCGTGAGTACATTTCATTTTTGAGTGAACTGTTCCTTTAACGGGACGCAATCTGCACATAGATGTTTTGTTTTTAAAAGTTATTTTGTGTGTTTTGTAAAAAGTGGGTCGGCTCGTGTGATGAAGTATCATACTAACTGATCACGATGGATATGGAAAAAACTGAACTTCAAAAACATTATTGTCCATTTGACTAAAGACAAGGCGTAGGTAAATAATCAGGAAATGTTTTATCGAGAGATTTAACATAATGATTTTAATGTTGTTGCCGTCCGTTAACGGAATGCCGAAATGTTACTCGCTAGTAATATCTTCATTACGGCTTTTGTGTGTGTGTAATGTTGGAACAGATTGTTGTCGAAATCATAGGTTTGTTTGAATATTCACGATTTATGTATCTTATTTAGCATGAAGAAATAAAGCAATACTCACGTCTCCTCGGTCGTTGATGAATGAGACGACGGCTTGTTGAAATTTAAACTGATTCAGCTGTGACCAGTAAATGTTGTACAGTGGTCGTCCACGCCACCTAAGCACAACCTAAAGCATGCGACCCTCATGATGTTTAAATGGCAACCTTATGACATCGTTGTGACAACCTTTAGAAACAACGTAGAATCCTCAACCTTTTTGCAATGTTGGTACAACGTTGTAGGAAGGTCGCTACGTTGAGGCAACGTTGTGTGTTTGTTGGGCATACAGTCATAAGAAACTAAATAGCTTTTTGATCGACTACTGCAAGCTGGGAAAACATCAGATAAATATGCCAATGCAATTAACAAAATTGCTGAACATATCTAATATTTACACATTTGCTTGAGGAAGAAATGATGGGGACTGTTATTGCAGTTTAAGGATCATCCGCACTCTTCCGGTTAACGAAAGCTCTGCTTTCACTTTCGATTTCCTGACTGTTTTAAGTTTATTTTGTGCTAAATGATGTGAAATTTTCGAGTCAACCTGATACAGAAGAGCACAAACACTTTTAAGAGATAGAAAATAACCCATTATATTGTTCAAATGACCATGTTTGGACTGTGTTTAATCGGTGTTTTAGGCTTTGAGCTTCAAGAGCAGACAGTGCTAAAAATCACGCTTATACACATATAAACCCATTTATCATCTTCACAAATCAGCGTAATGTAGAAGTGTTAAACTCACATGCAGAAGTACAGATGCTCTTTTGCAGCAGGAACACGATGTGAGCTCTTTGACGCTTTCGGTTTGTCAACTTCTTCAGTATTTTGGCGGTTGTCAAACTATAATGTGCTTTACCGCCTCCTGCTGGACTGGCTGATTCTAACATGCAGAGAGACGGGGAAAATCTCACCATAAATTCAAGGGAAATAAATCGCTGATTAAACAAAGAAATCCGGTTAAAATTGTAAATTCTTTCTAACAGACCAGATTCTTTCAGACATATATTATTGTACCTTCCATATGTTGACTCTATTATATTTTCAGAGTAAATGTAAGATTATATCTAATAAATACTTCTCTTAATATTTGTCTTTTGTATTGATAATCTTGACATTCTGTTATCACATGCTGCACATGTTTCATGCTGGTTACAATGTGAGTATAAATCATGTGTGTGCTTCACTATAAACACAGTGTCTTGTTTAGTCCTGTATGTGCTATTCTGAAGCGGTTACGATCATTTCCTCACTCCGATTATTCCCCATTTCTCTTCCTTCACAGATTTACCATTGGATTGTATACAGATGTCTTCCTGAGTCATTTATATCCCAGTGTTCCTGTCTCATACTCCCTGTCTGTATCTTTATTATAGTTTTGACTTATTCAGATTTAATTAATTTACCCTGAAGGTCTGTGTGTGAATGTGTTTGTGTATGGGTGTTTCCTAGTACTGGGTTGCGCCTGGACGGGGATCCGCTGTGTAAAACATACTCATTCTGCTGTGGTGGAATACCTTCCCTGCTGAAAAAACCAGCAAAGACCAGCATGATTTTCATGCTGGTCTATGCTGGTCAATGCTGGTTTAGCTGGTTTACCAGCTTGGTCTTGCTGGTGATGCTGGTAGACCAGCTTGGTTTTGCTGGTTGACCAGCTTGGTCTTGCTGGTAGACCAGCTTGGTCTTGCTGGTGATGCTGGTGGACCAGATTGGTCTTGCTGGTGATGCTGGTAGACCAGCTTGGTCTTGCTGGTGAAGCTGGTAGATAAGCTTGGTCTTGCTGGTAGACCAGCTTCGGCTTGCTGGTCAGGCTAGTCTACCAGCTTGGTCTTGCTGGTCATGCTGGTCTACCAGCTTGGTCTTGCTGGTTATGCTGGTAGACCAGCTTCGGCTTGCTGGTCATGCTTGTCTACCAGCTTAGTATTGCTGGTGATGCTGGTCTATGTTTGGTGGACAAGCAAGACAAAACTAATTTCTGACAACAGCATTTATTTTTTTTTAGTGAAGTTGAGAAATTTAACAGAAGAATTGCTCGAGAAATGAAAAATCTCCCCAACAAGAATTTAAAGCATTTTATTTTATATGTAATAAATACATTATTAATCCAAGTATTGTTTTTCACAATTTTTCTCTGCATTTTTTACAGCTCGATGACTTGTAGGACCTCATGAAAATTTATAAAAAAATAAAGTTTGGTGTGAGAAAATTACTCAGAGTACTATCATTTATTCTGTGAATAATAAGATAATGTTCATTCCCTCAACTCAATACTAAAGAGTTTGATAAATCCTTAATGATCTAAAAACAAAAAACAACAACAAAAACAATAAATGACTGAAAATATTTAAGTAACTGAACAATATCTATTTACAAATACAGTTAATTAAAATACAACAGACTTAATGCATTAAATCATAATCTAGTATGTTTAATATTTTATATAATAATGTATTCAATCATAGTGCAATAATTTAGAGTAGAAAAATAGTGTAATTTATAAATCAATAAATTCAGGTTAGGCAATTTTTCCAACAGCAGGTGGCACTGTCTGAGAAAACGATAGGTCTGGAAGTGCTGGTCTGAGCGAGCAGGTCTGAGCGTGCGGTTGGGTCTCGGGGCCTACAGCTTCATAATGTTGCCACAGAGACTTAGGGAATGGTCACCTACAGTGGTAGAAACGCGGAACTTTGTCTAGACACTGTTAACTGTGATACCTTCCCTACCCATGACAATGTTCTGCTAAATCCTGATTTCATCTTGTAACGCTGGACAGAATGTGGCCCAGGATCTTTGTCCAGTGCACGTGTTAGCAGTTGCAAGGCAGCAAAATTGATCCGTCCCTGGGTGGGCTTGAACCACCAACCTTTCAGTTAACAGCCGAAAGCGCTAACCGATTGCGCCACAGAGACTTAGTGAAAAGTCACCTACAGTGGTAGAAACGCGGAACTTTGTCTCAAAAGATCTGCTATATGAACCCTAATGTAATCTTGCTGAGAGAGAGAGAGAAAAGTAACAGAAATGCCCAACGTGGGGCTCGAACCCGCGACCCGGACATTAAGAGTCTCATGCTCTACCGACTGAGCTAGCCAGGCGGATGAGGAGTTCCCATTAAAACTAGACACTGTTAACAGTAATACCTTTCCTACCTGTGACAATCTTCTGCTAAATCCTGATTTCATCTTGTAACGCTGGACAGAATGTGGCCCAGGATCTATGTCCAGTGCACATGTTAGCAGTTGCAAGTCAGCAAAATGCCTAATTCGTCCCTGGGTGGGCTTCAACCACCAACCTTTAAGTTAACAGCCTAACGCGCTAACTGATTGCGCCACAGAGACTTGGTGAAAGGTCACCTACAGTGGTAGAAACGCGGAACTTTGTCTCAAAAGGTCTGCTATATGAACCCTAATGTAAGTTTGCTGAGAGAGAGAGAGAAAAGTAACAGAAATGCCCAACGTGGGGCTCAAACCCACGACCCTGACATTAAGTGTCTCATGCTCTACCGACTGAGCTAGCCAGGCGGATAAGGAGCCCCCACTAGAACTAGACACTGTTAACAGTAATACCTTCCCTAACGTGACAATATTCTGCTAAATCCTGATTTCATCTTGTAACGCTGGACAGAATGTGGCCCAGGATCTATGTCCAGTGCACGTGTTAGCAGTTGCAAGGCAGCAAAATGCCTAATTCGTCCCTGGGTGGGCTTGAACCACCAACCTTTCAGTTAACGGCCGAACGCGCTAACCGATTGCGCCACAGAGACTTAGTGACAAGTCACCTACAGTGATAGAAACGCGGAACTTTGTCTCAAAGTCTGCTACATTAAAGCTTATGTAAGTTTGCTGGGAGAGAGAGAGAAAAGTAACAAGAACGCCCAACGTGGGGCTCGAACCCACGACCCTGAGATTAAGAGTCTCATGCTCTACCGACTGAGCTAGCCGGGCTGATGAGAAGCTCTTTTAGGAACCAGAAACCGTTTACAGTAATACCTTCCCTACCCGTGACAATGTTCTGCTAAATCCTGATTTCATCTTGTAACGCTGGACAGAATGTGGCCCAGGATCTATGTCCAGTGCACATGTTAGCAGTTGCAAGGCAGCAAAATGCCTAATTCGTCCCTGGGTGGGCTTCAACCACCAACCTTTCAGTTAACAGCCTAACGCGCTAACTGATTGCGCCACAGAGACTTAGTGAAAGGTCACCTACAGTGGTAGAAACGCGGAACTTTGTCTCAAAAGGTCTGCTATATGAACCCTAATGTAAGTTTGCTGAGAGAGAGAGAGAAAAGTAACAGAAACGCCCAACGTGGGGCTCAAACCCACGACCCTGACATTAAGTGTCTCATGCTCTACCGACTGAGCTAGCCAGGCGGATAAGGAGTCCCCACTAGAACTAGACACTGTTAAAAGTAATACCTTCCCTAACGTGACAATATTCTGCTAAATCCTGATTTCATCTTGTAACGCTGGACAGAATGTGGCCCAGGATCTATGTCCAGTGCACGTGTTAGCAGTTGCAAGGCAGCAAAATGCCTAATTCGTCCCTGGGTGGGCTTGAACCACCAACCTTTCAGTTAACAGCCGAACGCGCTAACCGATTGCGCCACAGAGACTTAGTGAAAGGTCACCTACAGTGATAGAAACGCGTAACTTTGTCTCAAAGTCTGCTACGTGAACCATAATGTAAGTTTGCTGGGAGAGAGAGAGAAAAGTAACAGGAACGCCCAACGTGGGGCTCGAACCCACGACCCTGAGATTAAGAGTCTCATGCTCTACCGACTGAGCTAGCCGGGCTGATGAGAAGCTCTTTTAGGAACCAGAAACCGTTTACAGTAATACCTTCCCTACCCGTGACAATGTTCTGCTAAATCCTGATTTCATCTTGTAACGCTGGACAGAATGTGGCTCGTCCTGATTTTGCCAAGTGCTAGTTGTCCTGAGACCAACATATTTTATGATGACCCAGGGACAACATCTCTATCAGCCAATCAAACGTTAATACGTCATCATTATGAGCCTCCTGCAGAGTCCGCCAAAAACGCAAATTCAAAAAAGAAAACACACCCACCCACACACAGGCAACTGCCATTTTCACCAGTGAAGAGGACAGGTGAAGAGGTGAGATCACCGGTTTTCTTCTATAAGTTTACAGAAGGAGTAATGATTGTAAAATTCATATGTGTTTATGGATTTGTCCCTTTTTTCCAGCGAAGTGAACGAGCAACGTTTAACTTTTGTTTGCATTAAGTTAGCCTAATTAGCCGTCCCTACCTAACGTTAGATTAGCGTGCTGCTCTACCGTTACTGTTACTTACTTTCTGGTATTAATTAAAACAAGCTAACAGTATTTTTTTGAATATTTAAATCTAGCAAACGTTATTAAACGCGACTAAACTTGCCCTCTTGCTAATTTAGCGACCTTTTTTCTAATAATTCGGTTTTTAGCATGTATTATGTCAATTTCATTTAAAGACACGCCAGAAATGTGGACCAAAACAGCACTAGTTTAAACACAAGACAGTAGGTTATTTGAGGTGTTAACTTAACTACTGTGAATCGCTGCAATGATTTCATTATTTATTCTGTTAAATATGTTGGCATCATCACAGGTTTATTAATATCATTTATATTTTTTACCTCAGGTCATCATCACTGATTTATTAATATGTTAACCTCAGGTCATCATCACTAATTTATTAATATATTTAATATGTTAAACTCAGGTCATCATCACTGATTTATTAATATATTTAATATGTTAACCTCAGGTCATCATCACTGATTTATTAATATATTTAATATGTTAACCTCAGGTCATCATCACTGATTTATTAATATTATTAATATGTTAACCTCAGGTCATAATCACTGATTTATTAATATTATTATTATGTTAAACTCAGGTCATCATCACTGATTTATTAATATGTTAACCTCAGGTCATCATCACTAATTTATTAATATATTTAATATGTTAAACTCAGGTCATCATCACTGATTTATTAATATTATTAATATGTTAACCTCAGGTCATCATCACTGATTTATTAATATTATTAATATGTTAACCTCAGGTCATCATCGCTGATTTATTAATATTATTAATATGTTAACCTCAGGTCATCATCACTGATTTATTAATAATATGTTAACCTCAGGTCATCATCACTGATTTATTAATATTATTAATATGTTAACCTCAGGTCATCATCGCTGATTTATTAATATTATTAATATGTTAACCTCAGGTCATCATGACTGATTTATTAAAATTATGAATATGTTAACCTCAGGTCATCATCACTGATTTATTAATATTATTAATATGTTAACCTCAGGTCATCATCACTGATTTATTAATAATATGTTAACCTCAGGTCATCATCACTGATTTATTAATATTAT